AATGTGTTAGATCGATCTAAAATTGGGACATTGAGGAGCTTGCTTGAAGGATTTATGAATAGGCTGAGAACTTGCTCGAGGGATCTAAGTTGGTTATAAATTTACACAATCAAGATATTTTGATGAACCATATTTAATTTTCCAAGAACAGCCTATGAAAGTAAGGAATTAAACACGATAACTGTTTAGTGAAAAACTCACTGCAATGGTTCCATCTACATATCCTTGTTTGTCTCGTTGGATCCATGGGATGGATGCACCAACAATGAACCTTGACGATAAAAAAAACCGAATTTTCAGAAGAACAGAAAGTGTTGAAAGTTTGAAACCAAAGTGATTGTCTGTCTCGATATCGGGTAGTTGGTGAGTTAATTCTACTTAGAACCTAAGTTCACACACGCTTATGAAATTATAGCGCAGATTTGAAAGACGATAAAATTCATCTCAAGATGCTTAAATTCACGTTCTTGTTTTGAAATTCGACATTGAAAGAAGTGCGGTAAACTCAAGTATATTTTGTAAATTTTAAAATTGTTTAGTCGTTTAGAAATGGGCCACAATGAAGGAGTGTATTGTGAGTTTGGGCCCATAAAAAGCCCAACTTATGGAAGGACATAAAAGCAAGTGAGAGAGACTCGAGCTGAGCCACCAAACCTAGCGTGCCCTTTAATCCATCCACCATGAATCAACTGAGGTCATCAATCTCTGTGGAAGAAACCGAATACTTTGATTGGATCCCTGTTGATGTCATCAGTAATATCTTGTCGAGATTGCCTCTGAAATCTATAGCTCAGTGTCGTTGCATATCGAAGCTCTGGTCTTCCCGAATCCGCCTTCCAAATTACAACCTGTTGTTCCCGATCAAGCCCCCGGCTCCACCGCGGATCGTTTTCACCATCGAATATGAAAGAGAGTTGTTCGTCTACTCTTCACCTCAGCTTCACAATCCTGGTGAGAACACGTCTCTTGTAGCCACCCTTCATCAAAGGACACGTGGGACAGGTTTCAGTGTATATCGTCCTCCGGTTGGCGGATTGGTCTGTCGTCAACATTATCGAAAGAATCCAATGAATCCTTCACCAGTGGTGGTGATTTCTAATCCCATCACAGGAGAGTGTTTAGCCTTGCCTAGACTGAGAATGGATGAGATTAAGAATAACTCAAAGTTGTTCCTGGGCAATGTAGGATATTCTTTTTCTTTTGGGTATGATCCAATCGACAAAAAGTTCAAGATATTGCGTATCACCACTTTGTATGAGTACGACACACAAAATTCCAGTCAGTATCAAGTTCTAACATTAGGGGCTCGAAAGAAAAATCTCTTATGGAGAAATATCCAATGTTGCACAAATCATTATCCTTACATGTCTCACGATGATATGATATGCATCAGTGGTGTTTTGTATTATCCAGCAGGGTGCTATAAGGGTACAATACATTGCATTGCTGTCGCTTGCTTTGATGTTAGGTCTGAGAGTTTTAGTTTTATTAACGTTGATCAAGAAGACATGACAGCAGAAAAGATCAGTTCTTACAGTTTCGCTTTGATAGACTACAAGGGTAAATTAGGTGCTTGTTATTGTGATACTTACAAGAATCTGTTTGAGTTGTGGGTTTTAGAGAATGCGGAGGAACATAAATGGTCAAAGCATATCTACCAAATGCAGCTGCCTGAAATGATTTCTGGTGTACGTGCTACTGGAATGATTGGTAGTGGTGAAATTGTGTTGCACCCATCCTATTCAGAAGATCATTTTTTCGTTTTGTACTACAATTTCGAGAGGAACATTATCACAAAAGTAAGACTTGAAGTTCCAGTAATGGTTAGTGGATGTTGGGTTCACGCATTTACCAACTATGTAGAGGATCTGACACTTATGTAAGTGTTTACTTCACATTATCGAATCTTTGTCTTTTCTGTTTCTTGTGTTGTCTTTCTGAAGTTGTTTATTTCTCTGTTTAGTTACTAGCTATTAAACATTGATCGAAATTTGAAATATTTTATCTCTGAAACTAACTCTGTAAAGCGAAACAAAACCCTAATTTTATTCAATCCTCTGCATAACCAGAAGTTAAGTACGAAAAGTCAAATTAAGTATGAGAATGTCCCATGATAAAAATATATTTAAAATCTTTTGTAAAGTCAAAATAAGCTTTTGATTCTATTGCAATCACAGCTCAATTTTCAGACATTAATACCACAAATAAGACAAATTTCTCTGGTAAATATACATTCAAGATACTTTGATGAACAATGTCTTAATTTCCACACTTCACGACCAGGCTCTTCTTCCTCCCATGACACCAAAAACTATGGCAATTGTAGCAACAACAGCCTGTGAAAGTATTAAGTGTTAAACACTGATTAACTCTCAAGATTAATGTATAAAACACGATTATCATTTAGTGAAAGACTCACTGCAATGGTGCAAGCTATGTATCCTGGTTTCTCTCGTGAATCGATCCTAGCACATACTAGAATGAATACGCCTATGTACCATGGGATTGCACCAAGGAGGAAACCAATGATGAACCTTAAAGATATAAAAAAAGAGACCGAGTTTTTCAGACAAAATGTTAAGTGATTGTAATCAATGACTAATTAATTTGAGATTGCTAAGAAAACACAAAATACTTACAAGAACCAACCGAGGCCAAGACCACAACAAGGAAGACGGTTTTGTCTTGCAGGTCCTCTTCCTTCGAAAACAGGGTAACCTGCAAATTTAGTTACACATTTGGTTTTAAAACATTGTGAACTATTGTAGAAACATAGAGAGCTTCCCAACATTGAATATAGATATTTTAAGTTTTTGCTTACTGGAAGAAATAAACTCTGATATCATTTTTAAGAATCTTACAACTCTTGTCAATGTCAAGTAACTTTTCTCAGTTGGATCATAAAGAAGAGACAATTTTAGTGTCAAGCTCATGCATAGTCTCAGTCTAAACTTTTCATCTTGAAGATCAAGATTCAAGGCTGGCTCTGACAAAGGTTTTTAAAGATTCGGAGAGTTACTTAATTACCAGGAACGGTTTGATGTTCTTGAATGTATTGATGAACGGAAATGTTGTGATGAGATGCTCCGGGAGGTGGAGACGGCTGAGGAAATCCGATGACTGGATGATGCGACGGAGGATGAGGATACGACGGTGGAGGATAAGTAGGGACACCTTGAAACGTGCCGTAAGATGGAGGAGAAGCTCCTCTGTTTTTGTCTTTTTCTTTTCCCATTATGTCTCTCTCTCTCTTTCTTCTATCTCATTGGTGTTTAATTAATCAGATTTAAGGTTGTAGCAAATTAGACACGTGGCAGCAGACACATGGACGAGTGGTTGTTGTTAGAAAAGCTCATTTAGAATATGCTATTGTTAATTGAAGTAGTTGACACATCAATCAATCAGCAAACCAAACAAAAGTTGAACACGCAATTACTGTCTTCATCGAATCTTCATAACAAATCCCACATGTTTAATCTAATTTACACAATCTTCTAATGATCTTATCTAATGCAACATGATCTTTTGGACAAACAAACTGGGTTCTAGTAAATATAGAATGAAGGATGAGTGAAAGAGAGAAACAAATTGTGTAGAGTTTTTAGTTGGTTTGAGAAGGCAGATCTTGTAACTCACATATCATATTTGCTGGTACTGCAACATCAATCATCTTTGTATACGCAAGATTCAGATCTATAAGTGCAAATGCCACGGTTATTATGAGCCGAAGAACCTTAATTGACACAATGAATTTGAATGTTTATTTATCTATAGCTAGACGTGGATTGTGTTGCATCTCTTCTCCAGCTATACTTGCCTAACTTTTAATAGAAAGAGCCACTATTGTGTGGATGAATGAATGATAAGGATGTGGGGGTGCCGGGTGCCCTTAGGTCGTATAAAGCATTGTTTACTATCCCTCCTATCCGTTGTGTGACATTTCATCCACATTCTTATCAATGAAGCACCTTTTCTTTAAAACGCTAATGTCAATGTGAATGAATTCTGTGTTTTGTATTACCGTGAAATCTTCGTAGTCATGAGCTGGATAGATCAATGTGTCTTTTGGCAATGTAGATATCTGGTAGAAAGATCAACAATAGCATTTTAGATTGAATCTTTGAACAGTAAGAGTGACTTTGCATGTGGAGTGTGAAACCCTTGCCTGTCCTGACTCGTGGTTGTAGAGTTGATCCGAGCTTTCTGCCCTGAAACACCAAGGAAAACATCATAGTAAAGCTCAACTAGTGTCACTACATGTACGAACCAACATAAGTTAAGTGATGAACATCATAACTATATCATTTTTCGATTGGATATCCGATATATTTCTATTTTTCAACGTTAGAAACAACGTAAGTTCTTAATAAGAAACCGCCTAAAAAAATCTAATTGATTGCTATATGAATTTTTCGCCAGTCATTTAGACAATAAACAAGACAGAACTAGTGATTTGGTAGAAAAGACATATATAACTAATGAAATGATACAACGTCCACCAGAAATATTGAGTAATTTTAGTCTCCAGTCACGATGTAACACATCCTGCGGTGTAAAACAATAGAATTAGACAATAAACAAAAAGATGAGTTAGCACAATATACTGTATACATATATGAATTGATCTAAAATTGATGCTGGTTTGGTAACTAGTATGCACTCTGATTACATAGCAAAATTTAATAAAACTAAATGAAATGATTTTTTTTTAAAAAACAGAAAATCTCAAAACCCATGTCGCAAAATTCCATCTTTGAACTTTATTTGGAAAAAAAAAATAAAAATCCCACCTTTGAAGCAAAACTTAGCAACTTATTACCAGAGCAGAGCAGGTTTGTTGTTTAATCCGACGGCGAAAGAAGATTGATAAAAAAAAGTGAAAAAGGTCGCAACTTGTGTGTCTCTCTTTCTCCAACTACCCTTTCGTGCTTAGCTGTCCCCTCTCTCTCTCTCTTCCCCGATGAAATCTTCATCTTTCGTATCTATCTTCCTTCTCATGCCCTAATTTCATCTCTTCTCTGTTATTGATTCTGTTAAAAATCTCACCTTTCATTTCAAAATCCTTCCAGAGTTTTGTGATATGCCTACTTGGTGGGGAAGAAAGTCCTGCAAGAACAAGGACGATAATCACAAAGGAATTATATCCACAGATAGAGATATCAAGAGCTCTGTTGTTGTTGTTGATCCTCCTCTCACTCCTACTCGTGTTGGTACACCTCGTTGTAGTCGTGAATTCGCCGGAGCTTCTTCTGGTTTCTCTGGTTTTGACTCTGATTCTACCGAGAAGAAAGGTCACCCTCTTCCTCGTCCTTTGCTCTCTCCTGTTTCGATCCATCATCAAGATCATGTAAGCGGATCCACTTCTGGATCTACCTCTGTTTCTAGCGTTAGCTCTTCTGGATCAGCTGATGATCAGAGTCAACTTGTTGCTTCTAGGTTTGCTTTTATGGATCCAGAACCTCTTAATCAATCAAAGATTACGTTTTTATTGTCTGGATTGTTGGTTTTGTGATTCTAACTCAATAAGCATATAGCAGGGGTCATGGTGATGTGAAATTCAATGTAGCAGCAGCACCACGTAGCCCTGAGAGAGCTTCTCCAAAGGCAGCTACTGCTACTATTAGGCCAACGTCTCCTCTGCATCAGCGATTGTCTGGAGTTGTGAGCTTAGAGTCTTCTACAGGGAGGAATGATGATGGAAGGTCCTCCTCTGAGTGTCACCCTTTGCCTCGACCACCTACTTCTCCTACAAGCCCTTCTGCTGTGCATGGTTCCTGGATTGGAGTAGGCTACGAGACAACCTCTCCTTCGGGGTTTTCCAAGTGGAAAAAAGGGAAATTTTTGGGGAGTGGCACCTTTGGCCAAGTCTATCTTGGGTTCAACAGGTGAGATAATTAGATTCTTCTACTCTGATTTGCTTAAAGAAATGTCATAGTTTTAGATAAGGAAAATCTTATCAAGTGAGTAAGTTGGCTTAGTTTTCTAGGTGACAAGAGTTAGTTAGTTAGCTAACCTTGGTTTTAGGAAAGCCTTCCCACTCCTTTACATCACGTAATGTGTGATGTCCAGATCGATAGAGCGTTTGATGATAGCTTTCTCCGTAGGTGTAAACTATATTTGCATTGTGTGGATCCGGAGGTCATTATTATTGATATCTAGGTTAGTAGCTCTCTTCAACCAGTATCCAGAGATGTTATGACTCTGTGATATGCTGGTGGACATTTCTGATAGTTCATGTCTGCAATTACTTCATCAAAATTTTGAGGTTAACTTCACCTGCTATCTAGATAAAGGCAATAGAAAGCAAAAATTTCTATTATGCTAGGTTCTTACATTATAACTTTGTAGCATCCTCCTTTCTAAATTGGTTGTTTCCATCGTATAATGTTTTCACCAATCTTACAGTGAGAAAGGGAAAATGTGTGCTATCAAAGAGGTCAAGGTCATTTCTGACGACCAAACGTCAAAAGAATGTCTAAAGCAACTAAATCAGGTTTATCTAGTTGGCCTCATCTTTTGTATATGTCAAGATCTGATTACTTTCAGCTCTTATTTAAAACGAAATTGTGAAACACTCTAATATTTTTCACACCTCTAACCACACTATTTTATTTGCAGGAGATAAATTTGCTTAACCAGCTTTGTCATCCAAATATCGTCCAGTATTACGGAAGTGAACTGGTATGTGTCAATATCTGTGAGCTACAGGAAAAGAAGAGATCATATATGCTTGTTGAGTTTGGGCAGTGTAATACTGTTATATAGAAATCAATATTGAAGCCTGGCATGGAAATTGTTATGCTTGTAGAGTGAAGAAACCTTGTCCGTCTACTTGGAGTATGTGTCAGGTGGTTCAATCCATAAACTACTTAAAGAATATGGTTCTTTCACTGAACCTGTTATCCAAAACTACACGCGGCAGATTCTCGCTGGGCTTGCCTATTTACATGGACGAAATACAGTACATAGGTATTCAAAATGACATTTTAAAGGTTGAATGGAACTCAATTTTTCTCTTCGTCGACATTTAATAAAGAGGGATTTTGTTCTAATAGGGACATCAAAGGAGCAAATATATTAGTGGATCCGAATGGTGAAATCAAGTTGGCAGACTTTGGGATGGCCAGACATGTAAGTATATCTATGTACTTTATAACAAAAATATGAACACATGATCTCTTGAATGTCATCAATGGGCAATAGAAGATATCAATTGTTTTATCTCCTTTATATTATATATATATGCTTGCAGAAGCTCTAATAGCCATTTCTTTCTGCAACAGGTAGCAGCCTTTTCTACTATGCTTTCTTTCAAAGGGAGTCCTTACTGGATGGCACCCGAGGTAGTTACACTATTCTATCTTTTATTTACTTTTCTCTTGCAAGTGGTGCAGTGGAAGGCCCTTATGTTGTGGCAGCTGATAGGATTTCACATCATGCTTCCGTTCTTTCGCAGGTTGTGATGAGCCAAAATGGTTACACTCATGCAGTCGATATCTGGAGTTTGGGTTGTACTATTCTCGAAATGGCAACATCAAAGCCACCTTGGAGCCAGTTTGAAGGGGTATATATGATACTGACGCTTGGACATAATCTTTTGTGCACTCTTCTTTTTAATAATCTGAATTTTTTTCTAACTTTCAAGTTATCTTGTGACATTATTTCTACCAGGTTGCTGCGATTTTCAAAATCGGAAACAGTAAAGACACCCCAGAAATACCTGATCACCTTTCAAACGATGCAAAAAATTTTATAAGGCTTTGTCTGCAACGAAATCCGACAGTACGTCCTACAGCTTCTCAGCTTCTAGAACACCCTTTTCTACGTAATACAACAAGAGTAGCTAGTACTAGCATACCCAAAGATAACTCCCCAGGTTCCCATGATGGAAGCTTCTCACTGGTATGTGTATAATGCATATGTTGAGCTGGATCAATTTGATTCCTCCCATCAAGTTAAACTTAATTTTCTTCTTGAGCAGCCAAAAAGGGAATCCTATCCAGGGAGACTAAGCCATGATAATTACCCAAGACAACCATTGTCTAGAACTATAAAGAGCCCAAGGTAAAAGTGTTGCAGCTCAATCTATTTGATACTTGGTCGAGTCAACTAATCTTGTATTTGGTTCTTGCAGCAGAGAAAACGTAAGAGCTATCACATCCTTGCCAGTATCTCCATGTTCAAGCCCTTTACGCCAACTTGGGCCTGCATACAAAAGTTGTTTCCTGTCGCCTCCTCACCCGTCTTACGCATTTCCTGGTCAAGACAGTGGGTACAACCTAGCAGAGTTTGCTGCAAGCCCTTTCAGGATGAAGAAAGACAAAATGATGGAACCATCTAGTTTCAGGACTCAAACACCGAATTCACCCTTGAGATCAAGACTGGTATAGAAATGGAGCAAAGATTGAGAGACCGAAAGCCACATACGATAAACAAGGCCCAAGGACCATGTATAAAACAGTGTTCCCCCTGGTTTTGGCCTTCTCCTTCTCCACACCGTGGGAAATACGAAGTTATGGTACCTTAGTTGTGTGTGTTGAGGCTTCTACTAGAAGTGAAGATTTTTGGAACAAGAAGGAGAAATTTGGGGGGAGAAACAGAGAGATGTAAAGAGAAACATGAAAATGAATACAAAGATTATAGAGTGAGAAATATAGATAGTAAGTTGTGTTGTTTATACAAAGATAACATTCAACCATTTGTTTTCAACCTACAGTGTGAATATACATTTCAGGAAGTAAAAAAGTTACTCATGTTTGTTTTCTTTTAGACACATGTTTGACATATGTTTGAGATAAGTTAATTGTCGAATTTTCAAGTTCCCACTCAGACAAAGATAGCAAGATTCTCTTTCACGCTGAGTCATTTGTTTGATCGGATTAAAGGTTTTATCAATTTCGACACGTAGCAGCAGAACATGGACGAGTGGTTGAAAAGCTCATGTAGATTATGTTAATTGAAAAGTAGTTGACACATCAATCAGCAAACCAAACAAAAGTTGAACACGCAAATACTGTCTTCATCTTCATAACAAATTCCACATGTTCAATCTAATTTACACAATCTTCTAATGAACTTATTGGCTTTGGTAAATATAGAATGGCGTAGATAAAGAGACAAACATATCGTGTAGGAGTTTTTAGTTGGCTTGAGAAGGCACATCTTGTAACCCACATACCATATTTGCTGGTACTGCAACATCAATCATCTTCGGATACGACAGATTCAGATCTGTAAGAGCAAAAACCGCGGTCATTTTATGAGCTGATGAATACTTAAGCATATACTAAGCGCAAGAAACTTACTTGACATAATGGTTTTGAATGTTTCTTTATCTTTAGTTAGACGCGGGTTGTGTTGCATCTCTTCTCCAACTGTACTTACCTGAATTTCAACAGAAGGATGTAAAAACCATTGTGTGGATGAGTCATATTTTCCATTAGACAAGCCAATGCGAATGAATTTGCGTTGTGCATTACCTCGAATCCTTTGTAGTCATGAGCTGGATAGATCAATGTGTCTTCTGGCAGTGTAAATATCTGGTAAAAAGAACAACAAAAGCGTTTAAACAGAGTCCTTGAAAACATGAACCACTTGCCTATGGAATGTGAAACACTTGCCTGTGAATGTACAGACTCGTAGAGTTGATCAGAGCTTCCACCCTGAAACATCGAGGAAAACATCGTAGTACAGTTAAACTGATGGCTCATCACAAAATCTAGAACTTTTGCGTTGACATTACGGTTTTAGGTTCTTTATAAACGATGTCGTAACACAAAATCAGATCTTATGCATCTACATTGCAGACTCTAAAATACAAAATCAGATCTTATGCATCTACATTGTTCAGAGTACCTGAAAGTCAGTCCTCCCACAACCACGGATGAGTACAGCATCCCCGGTAAAAGCCATTCTTGGTTGGGCTGATCTGCCTCTTCTCCAGTCACATATGTAACACATACGGATTTCACACCCGGGAGCTTCGTCTGTGGGGAGCAAACAAAGATATATATCACTAAATCTTCCACTTCAACCAAAAACAGGGGAAATGTAAAACAATTACATCAAGCAAGAGAAAACAGACCTTAAGAAGTCCAGTTCCAGTGACATGATCAGCATGAACATGAGTGTTCATAGCATAGATAAGCTTTAAGCCTAACTCATCTATCAGCTGCAAGTCTCTATCAACAGTCTTGTCCACCGGATCAATCAACTGCTCCATCACATAAACAATCCAAATTCAACAAATCAGATAAACAAAGAACATAAATTGATCAAAAATTGCAAATTTGCCCATTGACTAATCTGGATTAATCCATCAACAACGATCAGACACCAAAAACTCAAAACCCATATCGAAATAGTCAATCTTTTGGAAGGAAAAACATACCAAAGCTGATGAGAAACGTCGGCGAGAAGATAAGTAAAGGTGGAAGATTCTTTCTCAAAGAGTTGACGAAAGAGAAGCTTCGAGGAGGAGGAGAAAGATGAAGACGAACCCATTAATGATCGGCGAAATGTTGGAGGTCTGATTAGAGGAGGAGGAGAACGGAGAATACGAGATCGAGAAGAGAGGAATTTGGGTTGGAGTAGAAGAAGTTGTCGGAGACGTGGCAAATGTGAAGTCTAATGGGTCTAATGTGTCATCACCATTGAAGATTCATGAAAGCGAGTCTTAAACCTGGAAGATGAAGATGAAGATGAGCTTTCGAGTTTAATTGGACTTAATAAGGCCTACACTAATGGGCTTCTAATGGGCCTAAACTTTACTAAAACGAAAATGTTGCCGACATCTGGTCTGGTGGACCCTAACTTTGGGTCAACGGTCAGGATCTTCTTTATGATTCTATTTGTAGGTCCACTACAAAGTTGAAATGATAACATTTGGTTTTGACCTTTGAGTACAACTTCATAATAAATATCAAATCTAGTAATATAAACTATAAAAAAAAAAAATTACAACATAGCACAAACTATATGGTGGATTTCTAATTTCGACTTTTTCGTTTTGCGGCTCAAGATTTCTGGGTTTTTGGATTTTTCTCTCCCAAACGAAATGAATTATGCTCTCATCGCTTTCGATATCCAGGCTTCGTACTAGTTGGTTCTCTAGATGGTGAACATGGATTAGTGTCCCTGACTACTTGATCGAATGTCTGTGAACGAATATGAATCTGTTTTAGTTTTCTTGGAGCATATGCTTAACAGGCCCTTGAGTGTCGATGGAACGAGAATGGTCACACAATCATTAATGACTCTAGGATTGTGCAAGTTAACCACACCTATCTCTGAGCTTGTTCCACTTTTGAGCAGCAAAAAACTTATATGAAACACAACGTATAATCTTTTGAAACTCTCAGTTTTTGGGACAATGTTCAGTTTTTTGGATTTGGACTTTTGGACAATGTTCAGTTTGGATTCGTATTTGGATTTATCGTATATATCTTGCACTGTTCTATGAAAAAAAAACTATATGGTGGAAAAATAGTGCAGTAATTGCGGTTGAAATAGTATGGTCAAAAAAGTAAATTTTATTTACTTTTCAATCATATATATATAAAAGAAAAGTTTCACTCTCTCATTATTGATCTATTTGGCAATTTATTTTTTAAAATATAATATTTTTTTTAAATTAAACTTAAAATTTAACATATTTAATCATATACATTAATCCATACTTTAAATCTACACTTAAATACTAAATTGTAACTGAAATTACATAATTGTGATTTGTCATTTAGACACACTATAATTATAATTGTAACTCCTATAATCTAGTTATTTTAGAAATGTAACTTTCATCACTTCTTTTACTATAAATAACCATTCTCACATTTCCTCCACCATGTCTCAAATCCTAAATATTTTCTTTGTTTTGTTTATGTTCTTGTATTGATTGAAAACTCAATTAAGATATCATTGTAAGAGTTTGATTATATATATTTTTAATATATATCTTACATTATTTTCAATTTTATTTATTCTTTGTTTTTAGGCAACATAAAATAAAACATTAACAAAATTAATTTTTATTTAAATAAAAAAATAATACTACATTATTTAAAAGTTAATAATTAATTGAGATGGTAAGGGTAAAATTGGAAGATTTTTTTTTGTTGTGAGTTAGTGAATATGAAAATAACAATATTTAATTGTTTGAGTATTAAATCGCACAGTTTTATTAGTATGTGTATTTTTCTTCCAACCGAAAACAATTGGGTATTAAACGTCCAAATAAAAAATACATCATGTTTTTTTTTTTGGGAATTTTCCCTATTGAAAAGAAACTTTTTCTGTGGTATTCTTCGTAAATTTTTTTGGTCAAAGTAGCATTTTTTGACCAAATTCTCTTGTTTAATCCGACGGCGAGAGAAGATAGATATAAAAAAGTGAAAAAGGTCGCAACTTGTGTGTCTCTCTTTCTCCAACTACCCTTTCGTGCTTAGCTGTCTCTCTCTCTCTCTCTCTCTCTTCTTTCCCGATGAAATCTGCATCTTTCGTATCTCTCTTCCTCCTCATGCCCTAATTTCATCTTCTCTCTGTTATTGATTCTGTTAAAAATCTCACCTTTCATTTCAAAATCCTTCCAGAGTTTTGTGATATGCCTACTTGGTGGGGAAGAAAGTCCTGTAAGAACAAGGACGATAATCACAGAGGAATCATCTCCACAGATAGAGATATCAAGAGCTCTGTTGTTGTTGTTGATCCTCCTCTTACTCCTACTCGTGTTGGTACACCTCGTTGTAGCGTTAGCTCTTCTGGATCAGCTGATGATCAGAGTCAACTTGTTGCTTCTAGGTTTGCTTTTATGGATCCAGAACCTCTTAATCAATCAAAGATTACGTTTTTATTGTCTGGATTGTTGGTTTTGTGATTCTAACTCAATAAGCATATAGCAGGGGTCATGGTGATGTGAAATTCAATGTAGCAGCAGCACCACGTAGCCCTGAGAGAGCTTCTCCAAAGGCAGCTACTGCTACTATTAGGCCAACGTCTCCTCTGCATCAGCGATTGTCTGGAGTTGTGAGCTTAGAGTCTTCTACAGGGAGGAATGATGATGGAAGGTCCTCCTCTGAGTGTCACCCTTTGCCTCGACCACCTACTTCTCCTACAAGCCCTTCTGCTGTGCATGGTTCCTGGATTGGCGGAGGCTACGAGACAACCTCTCCCAAGTGGAAAAAAGGGAAATTTCTTGGGAGTGGCACCTTTGGCCAAGTCTATCTTGGGTTCAACAGGTGGGATAATCAGATTCTTCTACTCTGATTTGCTTAAAGAAATGTCATAGTTTTAGATAAGGAAAATCTTATCAAGGGAGTGAGTTGGCTTAGTTTTTAGGTGACAAGAGTTAGTTTAGTTAGCTAACCTTGGTTTTAGGAAAGCCTTCCCACTCTTTTAGATCACGTAATGCGCGATGTCCAGATCGATAGAGCGTTTGATGATAGCTTTCTCCGTAGGTGTAAACTATATTTGCATTGTGTGGATCCGGAGGTCATTAATATTGATATCTAGGTTAGTAGCTCTCTTAAACCAGTTTCCAGAGATGTTATGACTCCTGCTGGGGTTTTACCTGTGATATGCTGGTGGACATTTCTGATGGTTCATGTCTGCAATTACTTGATCAAAATTTTGAGGTTAACTTCACCTGATTATCTAGATAAAGGCAATAGAAAGCAAAAAATTCTATTATGCTACGTTCTTACATTATAACTTTGTAGCATCCTCCTTTCTAAATTGGTTGTTTCCATCGTATAATGTTTTCGCCAATCTTACAGTGAGATAGGGAAAATGTGTGCTATTAAAGAGGTCAAGGTCATTTCTGACGACCAAACGTCAAAAGAATGTCTGAAGCAACTAAATCAGGTTTATCTAGTTCGCCTCATCTTTTGTATATGTCAAGATCTGATTACTTTCAGCTCTTATTTAAAACGAAATTGTGAAACACTCTAATATTTTCCACACCTCTAACCACACTATTTTATTTGCAGGAGATAAATTTGCTTAACCAGCTTTGTCATCCGAATATCGTCCAGTATTACGGAAGTGAACTGGTATGTGTCAATATCTGTGAGCTTCAGGAAAAGAAGAGATCATATATGCTTGTTGAGTTTGGGCAGCGTAATATTGTTATATAGAAAACCAATATTGAAGCCTTGGCCTGGAAATTGTTATGCTTGTAGAGTGAAGAAACCTTGTCCGTCTACTTGGAGTATGTGTCAGGTGGTTCAATCCATAAACTACTTAAAGAATATGGCTCTTTCACTGAACCTGTTATCCAAAACTACACGCGGCAGATTCTCGCTGGGCTTGCCTATTTACATGGACGAAATACAGTACATAGGTATTCAAAATGACATCTTAAAGGTTGAATGGAACTCAATATGTCTCTTCGTGGACATTTAAGAGTGATTTTGTTCTAGCAGGGACATCAAAGGAGCAAATATATTAGTGGATCCGAATGGTGAAATCAAGTTGGCAGCCTTTGGGATGGTCAGACATGTAAGTATATCTATGTACTTTATAACAAAAATATGAATACATGATCTCTTGAATGTCATCAATGAGCAACAGAAGATATCAATTGTTTTATCTCCTTTATATTATATATATATATGCTTGCAGAAGCTCTAATAGCCATTTCTTTCTGCAACAGGTAGCAGCCTTATATCTTGAAAATTATGCTTGCAGAAGCTCTAATAGCCTTTTCTTTCTGCAACAGGTTACTACTATGCTTTCTTTCAAAGGGAGTCCTTACTGGATGGCACCCGAGGTAGTTTCACTATTCTATCTTTTATTTACTTTTCTCTTGCAAGTGGTGCAGTGGAAGGCCCTTATGTTGTTACAGCTGATAGGATTTCACATCATGCTTCCGTTCTTTCGCAGGTTGTGATGAGCCAAAATGGTTACACTAGTGCAGTCGATATCTGGAGTTTGGGCTGTACTATTCTCGAAATGGCAACATCAAAGCCACCTTGGAGCCAGTTTGAAGGGGTATATGATACTGACGCTTGGACATAATCTTTTGTGCACTCTTCTTTTTAATAATCTGATTTTTTTTCTAACTTTCAAGTTATCTTGTGACATTATTTGTACCAGGTTGCTGCGATTTTCAAAATCGGAAACAGTGAAGACACCCCGGAAATACCTGATCACCTTTCAAACGATGCAAAAAATTTTATAAGGCTTTGTCTGCAACGAAATCCGACAGTACGTCCTACAGCTTCTCAGCTTCTAGAACACCCTTTTCTACGTAATACAACAAGAGTGGCTAGTACTAGCATGCCCAAAGATACCTGCCCCCCACGTTCCCATGATGGAAGCTTCTCACTGGTATGTGTATAATGCATATGTTGAGTTGGATCAATTTGATTCCTCCCATTAAGTTAAACTTGATTTTCTTCTTGAGCAGCCAACAAGGGAATCCTATCCAGGGAGATTAAGCCATGATAATTACCCAAGACAACCATTGTCTAGAACTATAAAGAGCCCGAGGTAAAAGCGTTGTAGCTCAATCTATTTGATACTTGGTCGAGTCAACTGATCTCGTATTTGGTTCTTGCAGCAGAGAAAACGTAAGAGCTATCACATCGTTGCCAGTATCTCCATGTTCAAGCCCTTTACGCCAACTTGGGCCGGCATACAAAAGCTGTTTCCTGTCACCTCCTCACCCGTCTTACGCATTTCCTGGTCAAGACAGTGGGTACAACCTAGCGGAGTTTGCTGCAAGCCCTTTCAGGATGAAGAAAGACACAATGATGGAACCAGCTAGTTTCAGGGGTCAAACACCGAATTCTCCCTTGAGATCAAGACTGGTATAGAAATGGAGCAAAGATTGACAGACCGAAAGCCACATACGATAAACAAGGCCCAAGGACCATGTATAAAACACAGTGTCTCCCCCTGGTTTTGGCCTTCTCCTTCTCTACACCCTGGGAAATATGAAGTAATTATGATACCTTAGGTTTGTGTGTGAGCATCTACTAGAAGTGGAGATTTTTGGAACAAGAAGGAGAAATTTGGGGGGAAACAGAGAGATGTAAAGAGAAACATGAAAATGAATACAAAGATTATAGAGTGAGAAGTACAAAGATAGTAAGTTGTGTTGTTATACAAAGATAATATTCAACCATTTGTTTTCAACCTACCTTGTGATTTGTGAATATACTTTTCAGTTTTCAGAAAGTAAAAACGTGTCATGAGTTTGATTTCTTTTAGACACATGTTTGACATAAGTTTAGTTGAGGAGTTTTATTTTCTTTAAGACATATGTTTATGATAAGTTAGTTGAGGAGATTGTCGAATTTCAAGTTCTCCCACTCCGAAAAAGATAGCAAGATTGTCTCTCTCACGCTGAGTCATTGTTTGATCGGATTTAAAGGTCTTAGCAATTTCGACACGTACAAGCAGAACATGGACGAGTGGTTGAAAAGAAAAGCTCATTTAGATTATGTCAATTGAAAAGTAGTTGACACATCAATGATCAATAAGCAAAGCAAACAAAAGTTGAACACGCAAATACTATCTTCATCTTCATAACAAATTCCACATGTTCATTACACAATCTTCTAATGAGCTTATCTAAAACGGAAGCAAATCTTATTGGATAAACTACTCTCAAGAGTTTTATTGGCTTTGGTAAATATAGACAAACATATTGGGTAGAGTTTTTAGTTGGCTTGAGAAGGCACATCTTGTAACCCACATACCATATTTGCTGGTACTGCAACATCAATCATCTTCGGATACGACAGATTCAGATCTATAAGAGCAAAAAACCGCGGTTACTTATGAGCTGATGAATACTTCAGCATAATAAGCAGAAGAAACTTACTTGACATAATGGTTTTGAATGTTTCTTTATCTTTAGTTAGACGCGGGTTGTGTTGCATCTCTTCTCCAACTGTACTTACCTGAATTTCAACAGAAGGATGTAAAAACCATTGTGTGGATGAGTCATATTTTCCATTAGACAAGCCAATGCGAATGAATTTGCGTTGTGCATTACCTCGAAACCTTTGTAATCGTGAGCTGGATAGATCAATGTGTCTTCTGGCAGTGTAAATATCTGGTAAAAAGATCAACAAAAGCGTTTAAACAGAGTCCTTGAAAACATGAACCACTTGCCTATGGAATGTGAAACACTTGCCTGTGAATGTACAGACTCGTAGAGTTGATCAGAGCTTCCACCCTGACACATCGAGGAAAACATCGTAGTACAGTTAAACCAATGGCTCATCACAAAATCTAGAACTTATGCATTGACATTACCGTTTTAGGTTCTTTATAAACGATGTCGTAACACAAAATCTAGATCTCATGCATCTACATTACGGACTCTAAAATACAAAATCTAGATCTTATGCATCTACATTGTTCTACGTACCTGAAAGTCAGTCCTCCCACAACCACGGATGAGTACAGCATCCCCGGTAAAAGCCATTCTTGGTTGGGGCTGATCAGCCTCTTCTCCAGTAACATATGTAACACATCCTGCAGTATGTCCAGGTGTAGCACGAACCTAAGACAAATGAAATAATCATTACACTCCTCACTTTCTAGCCTCCCCTCATTTCTTGTACCAGTTTGAAACTTCGGTTTCATACCTCGAGGTATATATCGCCGATGGATACTTTGTCACCGGGTTCAAGAAACATATCAGCTTTAGAACCACTTGCTTTCGAAATAACGGATTTCACACCCGGGAGCTTCGTCTGTGGGAGCAAACAAAGATAGATCACTAAAACTTCGACTTCAACCAAAAACAGGGGAAATGTAAAACAATTACATCAAGCAAGAGAAAGAGACCTTAAGAAGTCCAGTTCCAGTGACATGATCAGCATGAACATGAGTGTTCATAGCATAGATAAGCTTTAAGCCCAACTCATTTATCAGGTTCAAGTCTCTATCCACAGTCTTGTCCACCGGATCAATCAACTGCTCCATCACATAAAACAATCCAAATTCAACAAATCAGATAAACAAAGAACATAAATTGATCCAAAATTGCAAATTTTCACATTGACTAATCTGGATTAATCCATCAACAACGATAAGACACGAAAAAACTCAAAACCCATATCGAAAAATTCAATCTTTAGGAAGGAAAACATACCAAAGCTGGTTTATCAGGATGAGAAACGTCGGCGAGAAGATAAGTAAAGGTGGAAGATTCTTTCTCAAAGAGTTGACGAAAGAGAAGCTTCGAGGAGGAGGAGGAGAAAGATGAAGACGAACCCATCAATGATCGGAGAAATGTTGGAGGTCTGATTAGAGGAGAACGGAGAATACGAGATTGAGAAGAGAGGAATTTGGGTTGGAGTAGAAGAAGTTGTCGGAGACGTGGCAAATGTGTCTTCATCACCATTGGTATCAGCCGACGTCAATAGCTTCTTGAAACAAACAATGTGGTGGTGGGACCCGTGACGGATCAGTTATGCACGATTCAGTAACAATAATGGAATCAGATAAGATTAAAAAATCATCTGAGAAAAGTTATTGGAGATTCATGAAGCGAATCTTAAACCTTGAAGATGAAGAAGAGCTTTCGAGTTTAGAGATGGACTTAATAAGGCCCAAAATGATGGGCTTAAAATGGGCTTTTAGTCTTAACTAAAAACCAAAGTGTTGCCGACAACAAATCATCTGGTCTGGTGGACTCCACGGTTTAGGTCAAGAGTCAGGATCTTCTTTATGATTCTATTTTTAGGTCCATTACAAAGTTGAAATGATAACATTTGGTTTTTGACCTTTGAGTACAAACTTCATAAATATCAAAATCTAGTAACATAAATGTCATAAACTACAAAAACTACAACATAAAACAAATAATATGGTGGTAAAATATTGCGGTACCAATACGATTAGAAAAGTGATTGTTTCTTCTTCTTTTATATCGTGTCTACCAAAATAGGGCTGAAAATTGAAATGAATATGTTGAAGAGTGATTTTTTAATGAATTTTATTTACTTTTAATGGAATGAGTGGAATATTTATTCAATTCCACTCAACATAAATTTTACGAAAACGTTGATTAATGCTTCATTTTATTCGTATTTTTTCCCTCGAATATACGTCTATTTACATTCCAAGTAATGTTTTATTGTATGCGCAAAAATGTTAAAAGAACATGAAAAAATTAAAACTTGAAATGGTTTAAGCTAAATGACTTAACTAAGTTCCAATTCAGTCGTGAAGACGACGTTTGATCTCGGAAGTATCAAAAGAGAAAATATCAAAATTAGTCAAACTAAGACTTTGAGATTTTTTAGACTCAAGGGATAATCCTAAAAACATCAATGCTTCATTCTGCGCTACAGTAGCTCTAAACAGAAACCACTTTCCCTTTCAACTTCGAATCGATTCCGATGGAGTTTTGATCAAAAAGACTTAACCTTTGAGAATCTTTGACGGCTCTTCTCTTCTGGGTTTTGTTTTGATCATAGCAAAGGACACGATGGAGTCTTCGTTAATTCATCATATCATCATTGTGTTGTTGTTACTCTGGTTCATCTCTTCCTTGAATCGATCCCACGCCTTTTTCTATTTCCTCGCTCTCATTTATCTCTACCTGGTACTGGGATTTGCCTCTATGGTTTCTTTTGACTACTTGTCTGGATTTTGATGGAATGTGTAAAGATTGTCTTTTTTTGGGTTTCTTCAGGTTCACGAACGGTATGTGATGAGATTAAAGAGAACATTGCAGTTCGAAGAGAGGAAACAAGCTAATCAGAGAAGGGTAACTTTTAAATGTCTTTGTTTCATGTTTGTTCTCTTCTTTAGGTGGAAAGATTCTATCTTTATGTGTTCACTGTTAATGGTGATTAACCTAGGCTTTAGTTTGGTTGAGAGAGTGATTACCCTTAACAAAATGTTGGGAATTTATAACTTCTAAAGCTCCTAGGTTGCTTTTTTTCTGTTTGAAGTATGGATTAATCTTGTAATGGTTGAAATAGTATAGTGAAAGAGCTAGACTTTAGCCAATTTATGGACTGACTTAGTGCTAAGAATACTCACTCTTTCGCTTTCGCCTGTGTATTAGCTGTATGCGATTAACCTAATGAGGATTTTTTTTTTTTTCCCTGAGTTTTCCTTACATTATATACAATTTTTGTTTCTTTTGCTATGCATCTTTCAGGTTCTATCTGATTCTGAATCTGTGAGATGGATGAATTATGCTGTGGAGAAGATATGGCCTATATGCATGGAACAGATTGCGTCTCAAAAGATTCTGGGTCCAATCATACCTTGGTTCTTGGACAAATATAGACCTTGGACTGCGGTATCCATCTCTAAGATATAATTACATTCGGTCTTAATTCTATATGGCTTGTAAGAAGTCACTTGCTGGTATTGACATCTTTTGCGATTTATGTGCAGAAAAAAGCTGTGATACAGCACCTTTACATGGGAAGAAACCCACCTCTGTTGACTCATATTAGGGTCCTTCGCCAATCTACGGGTGATGATCACTTGGTATAGTTGCAATGCCTTATAGAACATCATACTTTGGCCTCTTCGCTCATTGATCTATAGTACAACTTATGCTGGAGTTTATGCAGGTACTGGAACTTGGAATGAATTTTCTCGCAGCAGATGATATGAGTGCAATTCTTGCTGTGAAATTAAGGAAAAGGCTTGGTTTTGGGATGTGGACAAAGTTGCATTTGACGGGGATGCACGTGGAAGGAAAGGTAGGGCAGCCTTTTCTTTATCTGAATGGGACCTTTTTCGTTTTTGTAAACACATTTTTGCGTTCTACTCTTAAAAGGTGCTAATCGGAGTGAAGTTCCTTCGTCGGTGGCCTTTCTTGGGGCGTTTACGTGTGTGTTTTGCAGAGCCTCCATATTTCCAGATGACTGTTAAACCAATCTTCACTCACGGGCTTGATGTTGCTGTACTTCCAGGTATCGCAGGATGGCTAGTAAGTACTACACATCCTAATAGTCTTGAATCTCTTCTTCGCACACATTTGTTTTTTTTTCTCCCCTCTAAAAGTCTCCCCATTTCTTTAATTTCTTAATCAGGATAAACTTCTTTCTATCGCATTTGAACAGACACTTGTTCAGGTAAGAATGACGGTTTGTTGGGTTATTTTCTATGCTTGTTCTGAATATCCCCTTCTTGTAGTTAAGCAATGAATGGCTCCGTCTAAAGATATTGTTTTTACTATTTCTTAATTCCCTGCTATTTGGTTGCAGCCAAATATGCTTGTTGTTGACATGGAGAAATTTGTTAGCCCAAAATCAGGTATTTATTGCAGGATTATCAACCTTATATTTCTGTTTCTTACTTCGTTGCTTCTGGCACTTGAAATCACTGGTATATCTCCAGAAAATTGCAATTTTTTTCTGTGTTTGCCTCCAGAAAATTGGTTCTGTGTTGATGAGAAAGAACCAGTTGCACACGTCTTAGTTGAAGTCTTAGAAGCATTAGATGTTAAACCATCTGATCTAAATGGTTAGTTTTAATATTACCACATGCATTAGTCTTTTTCCTTTTGGTTTGAAAAACTTGGATGTTTTGGTTTCAGGTTTGGCTGACCCTTATGTGAAAGGGAAACTTGGTGCTTACCGATTCAAAACCAAGACACAGAAGAAAACATTGTCCCCAAAATGGCAAGAAGAGTTTAAGATACCAATCTTTACATGGGACTCTCCAAGTATACTTAACATTGAAGTTCGAGACAAAGACCGATTTGTGGATGATACCCTTGGGTTTGTTCCTGAACCCTCGTTACTCCAAACTTGTAGAATATCAAAATTTTCTTGTTTTGAGTTTCTGTTTTGTTGCAGTGAATGTTCAGTGAATATTGGCGAGTTTAGAGGCGGCCAAAGAAGCGATATGTGGTTACCTCTTCAGGACATCAAAATGGGAAGGCTGCATCTTGCTATAACTGTAATTGAGGACAATGCGAAGGTAAAACTTTTTTCTAACTTACATACGACAGTTTTTCAAGATTATCTTGGTCAAATGCTTCTCATTTTTGAAACAGTCGAGTGATGATCCCTTCAAAAAAGCGAATCTAAACAAGGAAGACATACAGACTTCTTTTGCTTCTGATACTACAAATCTAGGCTCTTTCTCGTCGGACAAAGCTCCAAGTGTTGTGGATAACTTTGAGCCAATAACCATTGAAGGGCAAGAAGAGACTGGAATTTGGGTTCAAAAACCGGGAGCAGAAGTATCACAGATTTGGGAACCAAGAAAAGGTAAGAGTAGACGTCTTGATCGCCAAATACAAAGAAACCCTAATGATAGATCACTCAACAGTGGAAGCAGCAGCACCGACGACAATCAAGAGGGATCAAAGAATCCAATGAAGTCGGTTGGTAGAGGATTGAGAAAAATCGGGTCAGTGTTTCACAGGCATGGCAAAAAGGAAGAATTTTTAATAGGCAGCATTGAAGAAGAGTCACAGTCTCAGTCTCCTCGGATCAATCTGAAGGCAGTAAACCAAAAGGATGTTGGACTTAACTTCATCGTTGATGACAATCTCTCGGGTCCACTTTCAGGCAAGAGTTTAGATTGTGAGAGTTTGGATGCAGAGGAACATTCAGGTAAAGGCCATATGAAGGATGTGGCAAAGAGCTTTCTAAAACAAGCTGAGAAATCTGCAAAACAGTTCAAGCATGCGTTTTCGCGTAAAGGATCCATGAAACCAAGAGATGGGCAAAAAGAAATCGTTCCTGAATCTGATTCTGGATCTGATTCTGAATCTTCTGATGATGATGATTCCTTTACCTGTGTAAAGAACCTGGCAACAGATACAGGAAAACTTACACGCGATGGGAATATTGGTAGAACAGGAGATGATGATCATGTAGATTCAACAACATTAGCAAACGCTAAGGAAGATTCAAGTGGTGATATGGCAGAGAATTCGACAGATGTTGAAGCTAAAGATGAGAAACTAGAGGAAGCAGCAGAGTCAGAAACTAGAGATATTGACACCGCCATGAACATCAAAACTGAAGATGAGAAAGGAGAGACGCTTAAAAATATCCAAGAAGGGGAAGAAAAGGAATCATCTTCAAACTAAAAACGTATATCTTATACACATTCACGTTCATGTATATGTTTACTAAATTTGAAACTTGCGAATCAAATGGAGGTTCTTGAGCATGTATATTTTCTTGATTTTTTTTTCTTGATTTTTTTTCTTCCTTTTCTGATCTCTTACAACAACGGCTTTTTTTCATAGATGGGTTTGAAGAAACAAAGTCAGAGTTGGCTCCGAAACCTTGCATGTCCATGTTTTAATGCTTGCAAAAAACTTGACATTATTGCATTTTACAGGTTAAAGAAAAACATGAAACATATATTGATTTACGTAAAAATATTTATACATTATCTCTCGCACGCAAAAACTTAACATTAACATTCATATTCACACTAAATATTGGATCGAATGACTACGAATTTAAAGAAGAGAAGCAAGGCACAATTACGATGGTTAAGTCACGGTGTTAGCCGCCGCATCAACAGCCGCCGGTGCCCGGTGGTGTTGTCTTCTCGACTATTCATCTCAAACAAGGCTTGACGAATACCTAAGAAACAACAACTAATGATATTTTTTTGGTTTTAAACAAATAATGATACTTGAGAAGAAGAAAGCCAAGTAACGCTAAGTAGATTACTGAATCTATAATTTTTCGATCCATCGATTTAGAAGGAAAAACGTTTTTGGAGGTTAGCTGTTTTCTGAATTCTGACTTTGTATTTGCAATTTCCACTTATATATACACTATACAAGTTGTTTCATTGACTTTGATTTTATTTGCTTTTTTTTATTTTACCTTTATTTAACTTTTATTATAAGTTTTAAAGGAATGTGTCAATTAATGCTAGTTGAGAGATGTGTAATTGACCAAACCCATTACATACACTTGTCTTGCCAAGTTGCCTCAGTCTTTATTTGATTATTTCTCTATTTGAACTATATATGCTTTTAGGAAACATATAGATTAATGTTTAAAAACTATTTGACCATTATAGGATGGAAAATGGTATACATAATCATCTAAAGCACGAGAAATGTTCTCGCATCATTCACATATTGTTAACTTTTTGATTATAAAAATCTTATGTTAAGTAAAAATGTTTGAATGTACATTTGATCACTTTTGCAAAAAAACTAATAATACCTATGGGCCTATGGCTGATGTGGCAAAATTATTTTGTCAATTATAAAATCTAAAACCCTAAATGTTTTCCCGGCTTTTTTTTTCTTCTTTCTTCTCTTATCCTTTGGAATCGCTAGTCAATGGTGATGAGGCCGATTACGAACAAAGGATTAATTTACAGACACAATCTTTGTCTGAGATGTAATTCTACGCTTGCTGTCTCTAACCACAAGCCCATTACCCAGAAAACACGAAACTTTCTGGAGACGACGACGAGCACAGCTATCTTTCAATGCAATTCTCAGATTTCGAAGCTCGCGAGAAATGGGAATCTACAAGAAGCTGAAGCTATATTTAGACAGATGTCGAATAGAAGTATTGTCTCTTGGAATGCGATGATTTCTGCTTACGCGGAGAATGGGAAAATGAGTAAAGCATGGCAAGTGTTCGATGAAATGCCTGTGAGAGCTACAACTTCTTATAATGCTATGATTACTGCTATGATTAAAAACAAGTGTGATTTAGGGAAAGCTTATGAATTGTTTTGTGATATACCGGAGAAGAATGCGGTTTCTTATGCGACGATGATTACCGGTTTCGTACGGGCAGGGAGGTTTGACGAGGCGGAATGTTTGTATGCTGAGATACCTGTGAAGTTTCGTGATCCTGTTGCTTCGAATGTTTTGTTAAGTGGGTATTTGAGAGCAGGGAAATGGAATGAGGCTGTTCGTGTTTTTGAGGGTATGGCTGTGAAAGAAGTGGTATCATATAGCTCAATGATTGATGGGTTTTGCAAAATGGGGAGAATTGTTGATGCTAGAAGTCTTTTTGATAGAATGCCTGAGAGAAATGTGATTACTTGGACTGCTATGATTGATGGTTATTTTAAAGCTGGGTTTTTTGAAGATGGGTTTGGTCTGTTTCTGAGAATGAGACAGGAGGGAGATGTCAGGGTTAATTCTAATACTTTGGCTGTCATGTTTAGAGCTTGTCGAGATTTTGTCAGATACCGAGAGGGAAGTCAGATTCATGGGGTAGTTTCACGTATGCCTCTCGAGTTTGATCTGTTTTTAGGGAATTCATTGATTTCAATGTACTCTAAGCTTGGTTATATGGGTGAGGCCAAAGCAGTGTTTGGCGTAATGAAAGATAAAGACAGTGTTTCTTGGAATTCCTTGATCACTGGTCTTGTTCAGCGCGAACAGATTTCTGAAGCTTATGAACTTTTCGAGAAGATGCCGGATAAAGATATGGTATCCTGGACAGATATGATCAAAGGATTTTCTAAGAAAGGAGAAATCTCTAAATGTGTAGAGTTGTTTGGAATGATGCCTGAGAAGGACGACATAACATGGACTGCTATGATATCTGCTTTTGTTAGCAATGGATATTATGAGGAGGCGCTTAGCTGGTTTCATAAGATGCTTCGGAAAGAGGTTTGTCCAAATTCTTACACTTTCAGTAGTGTTCTCAGCGCAACAGCTAGTTTGGCGGATTTAATTGAAGGACTACAGATCCACGGTAAAATTGTGAAGATGAACATGGTGAATGACTTGTCGGTTCAGAATTCATTGGTATCTATGTATTGCAAATGCGGGAACACAAATGATGCTTACAAGATCTTCTCATGCATCAGTGAGCCCAATATTGTTTCTTATAACACGATGATCAGTGGGTTTTCCTATAATGGTTTCGGGAAGGAAGCTCTTAAATTGTTCTCCATGTTGGAAATTACAGGAAAAGAGCCGAATGGTGTTACCTTTCTTGCTCTGTTATCAGCTTGTGTTCATGTTGGATACGTAGACTTAGGATGGAAATACTTCAAATCAATGAAATTCTCGTACAACACTGAACCAGGACCTGATCATTATGCATGCATGGTTGATCTTCTTGGCAGAAGTGGATTACTTGATGAAGCATATAACTTGATCTCTACAATGCCTTGTGAGCCACATTCTGGGGTTTGGGGCAGCTTGCTTAGTGCAAGCAAAACTCATTTACGTGTCGATCTAGCAGAGCTTGCTGCTAAGAAAGTAATCGAACTTGAGCCTGATAGCGCAACACCTTACGTGGTATTGTCCCAGCTATATTCAATTGTTGGGAAAAACAGAGATTGTGATCGGATAATGAATATCAAGAAATCGAAAAGAATAAAGAAGGATCCCGGGTCTAGCTGGATAATCTTAAAGGGTCAAGTACATAATTTCCTTGCAGGAGATGAATCTCATCTGAATCTTGAAGAGATAGCTTTCACACTGGATATGATTGGAAAGGAAATGGAATTAATTAGTGTCAACCATGGAAACAGTTTACAGTGAAGCAACATGCAAGAACATGGTTTTCACTTCATCAACCGAGAGCAAGAAGCTCACTTGGTCACCTTGTAAAACCGAATGTCTCTCAAGTTTGTCCTCCTAGCACTAACCAAAGATGAACTGTGAGCTCCTGAATCCTCCTTCTATGAATCAGTTTTATGTTTCCGATTTAAATTTGGCATATTTCACACATAGGTGCATCCAATAATTGATGGGTTTGTCTATACATATATTGTTCACAGTAAAGTGGTGTAGAGGTTTCTATCCAACTAAGCTCTGTTATTAAGGTATGAGTTTTTTCTTCTTGAAGCAAAGCTAATGAAGCGCATGTAACGTGAAAGTTATGTATTAAGATACTGGGACACGTCAGCAAGGGTAGGACGACTCAATTGGAGACTAAGGTTATTTCGTTGGCGCACGCAAGGAGGGTTGGTGGCTAGCCGTCATGTCTTTTCACGATGGTGGAGGCTGTTGGAGAAGGTTTGGTGCAGGCGAGTCAATCTAAAGAGGTTTCGATCCCCAAATCGTACGCAAATGTTGTCTGAAGAAGGCCAAGTCTATCTAAATTCGAAGTTGAAGTTTCAGTAAAGGTATGTTGGCTCTGTCGGATGAGATTTTCGAAGATTCATTACCGCTATGGGAGGACTTTCTCATAGGTCGTTTCCCGTTTACTGCTCCTCATGTTGCAAAGATTCATGTCATAGCTTCAAACGTAATTCTTAAATTATTTCAAGATGGAGTTAATAATATAAGACCATTCTGCAACTTCGGATGTCCATCATGTTTTCCACAACTTTTAACATGTACTAAAAAGGTCAAAAGACTTAGAAACATCTATTTACATACTAATTGGCAGCTAGGGAAAACGATTATGTCAAAACTAGGAATATAAGCAATCAAACCAAAGCCGAGTTTAGTTAATATATAAGACTTTGGTTAGTAAAACTGTACCACAAATCCGAGTTTGGTTAATGCTTAACCGGGAAAAATTTCAAAAAAACAGAGTAGATTTCGTGGTTTGGTTTGAAATACAAAAGAAAAAGTCTAATGGTCCTTTTACCAAAAAAAAGTCTAATGGTCAATGTGATGAAGATCGAATATAGGTTCATATTTTTAACACAAGTAGTCATCGCCCATTCTTAACACAAGTAGTCATCGCCCATTTTTAACACAAGTAGTCATCGTCCATATATATGTGTTCTAGATCTTGCTTCCTTCTAAGAAAATCAAATCATAAAAAAAGTTTCATTTTAAGAGAAAGATCAATTGATGGCGGTGGTCGTACTTACCGCGGGTGCAGTGGTTCTCATTTTACTTGTACTCTTAATCTTATGGCTCATCGATAATTCTAAGGATGAAGGTAACCGTGATGCAGTCACTAATGGGCCTGCGCAGAAGCCCAACAACCACATTGTATATCCAGCGGCTACGTCTCTCCCTACTGTCTCCGACTCCGGCCATCACGGCCACAATCATGGTGGCTACATTGTATATCCAGCGGCTACGTCTCTCCCTACTTTCTCCGACTCCGGCCATCACGGCCACAATCATGGTGGCTTCATGTTTTATCCAGCTCCGCCTGCGTCTCTCTCTACTGCCTCCGACTCCGGCCATCACGGCGACGGTGGAGCAGGATGTGGTGGTGGTGGCTGTGGTGGAGGAGGATGTGGTGGTGGCGGCGACCAGGGGCGGACCCACTAAGGAAATAGGTGGGTCACTTGACCCAGGTTAAATATAGAAATAAGCATTTTTTGTGTAAGATTTTGTAAAGTTCCAACGGCAGAGTTGGTAATTTCCTATGGAGTGACACACCTAAAACCTGAGTTCGAATCCTTTGCTCAAGAGTTTCACTTTTTTTTTTTTTCATATAACCTTTAGATACATGTTTTTTTGGTCTAATAAATATTATAATATTGTTTAAAAAAAATTGACCCAGGTAAAATTTATCTCTGGGTCCGCCACTGGCGGCGACTGAGGAAGTTAGTTTACCCATGCTGCTCTAATATGGATAGTTTTCTTGAATTTTGTTTTCTAACAGCTTTTTTTATTTTTCTTTAATTTGGTGAATCGACTTTATTAGAGAAACATAGCATAGTGATTGATCTTTTATACATGAGAAATCAAAATTGTATTTGCATGGATATATCTTGGAGATTGATTTCTCCCAACATTTTCTTGATCTTTCATCATGTACTAAGATTTTCTTTTGCCTTTTCCACAGATATCCATTGCATTTGTTTTTTTGTTAATTTTCAAAACAAACACAATCCGATTTTTTTTCCTTTTCTATATTTGAAGGATATATATCCTCCCAACTCCGTTGTTGATATATTGCATTGCCTTGCTCTCCTGAAAAAAAAAAAATTTGACTTAATTTAGTGTAGACTGACTTCCAATCAAAACCATTTCCTTCAAGCAATGGATTATCGATTAAAAAAGCACATTGGCTAAATAGTTTCATCATCAAATCCACATATATAGCTGATGATGCCTGCTATAATTTGGGTAGATTTCTAATTATTGTTTCTATTGAATTACTTCTTTATCAATAGCTATATTTCTTAAAATTATCAAATAAAAGTCAAATACACCAAAAAAAACTTTTTTCGTTTACTAAACTGAAAATAAATTATATTATTTACAAAAAATCGAATTTTATCTTTCATCATATTATTCACTCAACTTAACACACCTCTTACCAATAAGTTTTCTCATGTTTTCTGATTGATTTTAAGTTTTGATCTAATAATTTTACAAAGAGGATAATTAGAAATTGTAAAATCAATAATAAATCAACAAAATTCAATCTCAAAGCTTTCTTTTTTAATAAATCACTATTGTTATTTGTTAACATTATTCTTAGTTAAGTATAAATTAGGTCAATCACAGTATTGCGCCGTAAGTCAATTAAAAAAAAATGGTAATTCATGGTACCAAATTACCAATGACACCCTATAATTAATTACGCCTCTAGCCCAAAGTCCTTATCCTAATCCAAATAGAAAATAAACAATAAACCAGAAAACATATAATAGATAAGATAATGAGTATAAATACGGTTGCATTGGTTAGAAAGAAAACGTGATTATTTGAAAGTTTATACGATTCTTTTTTTTTTATTCGAGAGAGAGAGATCATCATGGAAACTTATTTTATTATTCTCATAGCCTTTGGTGGTTTCTTTGTTTTGATGGGAATATTGGAGTCGAGGAAGAAGGAGACTATCACTTATGGCGGATCTTCACAAAAGCCTAACAACCAGAGAACCAGAGCAGTAAGAACCAGCACTGGTGGCTACATGTTTTATCCAGCTGCTGCGTCTCTCCCTACTCTCTCCGATTCCGACAATCACCGCCACCATCATGCCGGTTATCATCACGGTGGACATCATGGCGGTGGTGGTTGTGGTGGTGGTGGACATCATGGTGGTGGTGGTGGTGATGGTGGTGGTGGTGGAGGATGTGGTGGAGGAGGATGTGGTGGCGGCGGAGGAAGCTAGTTACGTATGATGCTATAGTTTTTGTGTAGATATTTATTTATTTTTGTCGGCAATTTTGTTGTCTATCTTCTATTGGATTTATTCTCTTTTTCTTTTCTCATCCGATTTTATTGGACTGAATATTATCTTGTTTTCCATCAAGTGAAAAGTAAAGATAATGCTGAAGCTGATCCAACCATTTATATATATACGATTATTTAATTTTATATTATTTTTAACCATTTAAAATAACAATATATAATCTGATAACTTGAAAATAATTTAAGAAGTTATACTATTTATTTAGCTTTAGAAAACATTACTCAAATCAAAATAAATAAATATGATAGTAACATGTAGCGTGTTAGTTTATCTTAGGGATCATTATGCCCTTCATGTTCAACTCCGTTTAAATAAATGTTTTTGAACAAAGAAAAATTGAAACAATTAATGAAATATCATAATACAGTAGTATTTTAAATGTTTTTTTTGGGATAAAATACTCTAGCCTATTTACAAATTATTAGTTTTCAAAGTTAGATATACGCTATCACTCTATGGATGTTCTAAGATAAAAAAGTTATATATTTTCTTAAAATTTGTTAAAAATTTCAATATAATTTAATAGTTTATATATATATATATGTGTGTCTTTGATTTAGAAATCTATAATAAAATATGATGTAAAATAAACATTTTTTTTTAATGTATATGTTTGTTTCATCTCTACAACTTGCACTGCACACAAACCCAAATTATAACATCTTTCATATTTCAAAAGCAAATACATATAAATCAAAAAAATCTATAAAAGAAACGGTTAAAGTGACAAGTCGTGCAGTGGCAGCCGCCGCGACGCTTCAGCAACAACCACCGGTAGTGCTCTCTTTCCGGCTGTCGTTCTGACTCTTTCGGTAACGAAAGTAGAAAAGACATAAGATGAATATTATCAAGAATATCACTGCAATCACTATGTCCATAATCTTCAAAGGAGTCATCAGATTTTGTTTTACTTGATTTCTAAATTATGATTTTGATTCTTAGAGAGAAATAATAATCTCTCTGTCTCTTGCTCTTTATAGATATGTGTTCTTATTATATACAATAAGTTTTTTTGGAGGTTGTAATTTTGAGACTTTGTATTTGGAAGTTGTTTCGATGACTTTTATTTTTGATTATGATAATAATTAAGGGAGTTGACAAAAAAAAATGATAATTAAGGGAATTCAGGTTTGATATAAAATGTGCCATTAAGCTAGTTGAGAATTGTGATTTTACCATTCTATCTGCTTGTCTCAGTCTTTGACTTGTAATTTCATGTTAAAAAATATACAGCTTTTAGAATATTTTAATGGTCTGACAATATATCGATCATATATAAGAGCATGAAGTAAACTAATTAACATAAATAATTTCCTAATTAGTGGTATACAAACTTCACATGGATGGAATTGGTATATATATATATATAGCTCTAAAGTGCTGTGTTTATTTATAAGTTATCGGTTATCTATTGAAAAATAACATGTGAAAACAAAATATGGGATTTTATACGGTCATCAAATCTTATAAAATCTGTTAAACAATGGTAGATCCATAAGTTCAGATAATCCATTAATCATTTGTGATATATCGAACTCATAAAAAAAAGGATATTCTGAAGTAAACTGTTAAGTGTTAACTAGTAATAAGAGAATTTCAATCAATTTTCCCGGTTAAATTTTCTTAGTGGAAACAACCTTAACTTCTACATATTGTAGTGTAATACACAAGCACATGTATAGACGATTTTGCAGAAGTACATACTTAGAACAATCTATGATACTTCAGAACAAATACCATTAAACGACAAAGAACTTGTACGGATAAATATATATACATCCCAACAGAAATACTGAAATCACACATTGCCATGCACGAGTAAGATTAAAGTCAGCCGCCGAAATCGCCACCGTAACCGCTGCCGAGACAAGCGATGCTTTCCTTGCCATCCTTCTTAGCTTTGTGGTAGAGAAAGTGAATGAGCCATAAGATGAACAAAAACAAGAGAAATGCCCCAAACACTATGAACAGAATCGCCACAGGAGTCATTGGATTTGCTTATTTCTGTTAATTCTTCTTAATTGTTATTTTGTATTTTCACTCAGATAAGGAAACAACAAGATGTATATATATAGTGATTGATGACCCTTAAATCAAAGTCTCGTTGGCTTAATATATAAAAGTCATCTTGTTAACTATTGACTTTTGTGTTAGGTTGTATTTGAAATTTCAAACGGAATATTCGGATATTAATGTAGTCGTTACCTTTGGCTTTTATTCAAGGCCAAATGGAGAATGCAATTTTAGAATTTTTATTTTATAAAGGTTACTAAACGGAAAATTATATTGGTCAGGTCTCGTATTATTCATGAACCTAGTATATGTTTCTTGTTAATAGCTACAGAATATTTTCATAAAAAGTTTTTACTATAAACAAGTATTTGTTTCAATTATATTTATTGTTTTTTTTTTTTTTGTCAAAGATCAATTATATTTATTGTTTGTTTTATTTTATATGTTTCGTAGAGATATTAAATATGGTCGGAATAAAATACATATAGACAGACAGTAATCATGTGACCAAGTCGTACCTGGATCACAGTCAATCAGTACAACTACAAGTCGTGTTTTTATAACCTTATAATTGATATAGTTAAATACACACTCCAACGAAGGGTATCATTTGAAAGAGTGACAATTTCTTCGAAATGATAGAATTTTAATGTTATATGGTCAACCATCACCAATTTTTACATGAACTTTTATTAATTTTTTAACATCAACTAGATTGCGTTTAATATTATAATAGGCTAAACTATAGAAACTGTTTTCTTGTAATCATTGATCCTCCCGTAACTTTTCTTGTTAAATAGACATTCCGAGTAGATTAGCAAGAAAACTGCTATAAAGACTATAAACATAATCAATTTCCCCATTGATGATCGATTTTTTAGTTTTTTCTCTCTTTCTTTTAATTATTTCATTCTAAATTTGATTTGGTTCTCATACAGGGAAACATCAAGATGTATTTATAGATATAGATATAGGTAAACAGATGATGGTGCTACTTAATTGTGTTAATTTATACTAAATTGTTGTTTGACTTATTTGTATTTCAATTTTAAGTACATATTCATGGAGACATCCAAAGTTTGCACATATTGTAACCAACAGTCCATATTCTATATTTCTATAATACACCTCATAAGTGTATGTTGTTTAGCTTATCTTGAAAGGATTGTAATAATGATTTCATCATCCTCAAATTCTTATTTTTGAATATCTACACAAACGCGCGCGCACACACACACAATTACTTCATCCTCGAATTCAACATTTGGGTTGAATATCCATTAGATTTGAGTTCTGATTTTAATTTAAAGCATAGCTAAGTATTTACATATGTGAGTAATGGATTAAATTAAGCTTGAGCAGCGTAACTAGATTTTCAGAAATTTCAAACCAAATAAATTATCTCAAAAAGTGTTACTAATCTTTTTATGCCAATAAGAAAATTCACTTTCAATATGAGAAAAAGAGTAAAATTTTCATTTTCGAGGGATTTTTTATTTCACTCATAGTTAACATTAATCTATATATAACCGCAATCTCAATAAATGCATTTTGCATATCTGAACGGTTACTTCTTTTTATTGCAACCTTTCTTTTTAAATATTTACGGCGGTTGTATCTTTTTATCGCATCTTTTCGTTGAAATATTTACGGTTATTTATTTACGGTTGTGTCTATTTACCGTATCTCTTCGTTAACGTATTTACGGTTTTTTACAGTTATATTTGTTTAATTACAGTCGTATCTTTTCAAATTACAGCTGTGTCTTCATAGTTGCATCTATTCATTTAAAGTTACGTCTCATATTATATAGATTTAAATTTTAATTTTTAACTAAAATATATATTTTACGGATGTTTTTTTTCAAAAAATTGCAATCTGAATAAATATTTTCTACGGTTGCATACTTTTATCGTAACACCTCATAAACAATTGTGATTGTTTAGTTGAACCATTGAAACATTTACTTTATTTAACGAATAATTATAATTTTTGATTTATTTTATAAATCGTTAAAACATTTAATAAAAACTAAAAATATATATTTTACGGTTGAATTTTTTTAGAAAGTTGCGATCCGAATAAATATCTTCTACGGTTGTTTTTTTTATCGTAACTTTTCGTAAAAGGTTACAACCGTTTAGTTGAACCATTGCAACATTTAGTTTATTTCACGAATAAATGCAACTCTTGGATTATTTTATAAACCGTTATATCATTTAAATATCTACAGTCACATCTTTCGGTATAACTTTCTATAAACTATTATATCAATTTTAGTTACTAAAATGTATTTAAATAAAATTATAACTGTTTAGTTGAACCGTTGCAATATTTGGTTTATTTGACAAATTATTGCAATTTTTGGTTTTGTTTAATGAACCGTTGTAATTTTTAGTTTAATTGACGAATCGTTGCAACATTTGGTATATTTGACAAACGATTACAACTTTTACTATATATGATATCTACGGTCGCGTCTTTCGGTTACAGTTCTTCGTCAAATTTTTAATTTTAATTACTATTTAAATGAATATGTTGTTACCGTTTAATAGAACATAGTAACATTTGGTTTATTTGACTAACCAATGAACATTTTGGCTTATCTGATGAACTGTTATTTATCTGATGAACATTTTAACATTTTGGCTTATCTGATGAACATTTTAACATTTGGTTGTAACCTTTGGTTTATTTAATGAACCGTAACAATATTTGATATATTTGATGAACTATTGCAATTTTAGTTTATTTGATGAATTATTATAATTTTAGGTATATTTTTTGAACCGTTGTAACATTGCCTTTTGTAATACATTTTTGAGAGCATTAACTAAAGCTTTTTTTTTTAACAAAGCATTAACTAAAGCTATATCTATTCATTTATAGTATTATCTTGTCACCATGTTTTATTAGTGTTTTTCATCACAAACACTTGGTTCCAATAATTGTGATTTTTACAAACAATTGTTTCTATGTAAACTTTCATGTCTTTTTAACTCTATATATATATTTTTTAAAAAGTGGTGTAAACTTATTATTTCTTTTTGTTTGATATTTTTCATAGAAAGTT